GGGTCAACGTTATTATGATCGCATTCAGCAGCACTCTGTTTCGCTCTCCCTCTTTTTCTCATTCCGTCTCGCTCATTAGAACTCTCTCACTCATTATCACACTCCCCATCTAACTTGTTCTCTATGAGACTTTCACATTCAGCTAAGATCTAACCCCCCCCCCCGTAGTTAAGAATCACTCCCTTATCCTCTCGCAGTCACTCTCTCTTTCTCTGTTATTTTCTGTCCATCTTGTAACAGTGGATATGTATTACTGCAATCTGTCAGCGCTCCTGTCTCGCCTCCTGACACATTCCGTGGTGACCATTATGCATATGTTGGTGTTATTATCATACAGACATATACAGTGGAACTATAAAACGCCCCAGGCAGAAAAACAGGGGTGACTTGAAAATCAAATTAAATCAAATTCACCAATTACTCATTATAAGCGTCTTGCGAGACATTTAACTTTTATAAAGTTAACCGCACTGAAAACTGTGTTGAAATATATTCAGTCTGCTTTAAATGCCTGTAATAAAACCTTGACAAAATTGGATCACAAGTTACAGGCAGTTAAGGTGGTATTAGTGCAAAGTCTTGCAAGAAAACCATTAAGACTGAGATTTGATTTTTGACTTTGGATGTGTAAATGGATTCTGACAATTCTCTCAACTTTAAGAGATTTCAGTTCCATGCCTGAGTTTCAAAGGTTATCTACAAAGTTAATGATCCATGGAGTGAAAGGTGACACTTAGCACTAAGAATATTTCAGGCACGGCACAGCACCATCCAGTTCAAAGCAAAAAAGTCACATTTCAAAAGAAAAATATATATATTTACACAAGAAATATCATGGAAGATTGTACTGATAAGCAGAATATGGCTCACCTCTGAAGCCATCACACATTCACAAAGGAGGCAGCACAAAACAAATTCCATATTCAAGACTGAATTACCATTGATACAAAGTTATTATGTAAAAAAATCGAATAAACTGAGAAAGCTTTGTCTTTCTGTCTGACCAACTGCTTATACAATCAATTTCAAACTTTGCTGCTGAGGACAATGGAAAGTGAAGTGTTGACTAAATGTTTTTTGGTCACTGATGATCTCGCACATCACATTATTACTTTGATAATAGGCTATTTATTTGTAACAATGCCGCACAGAGACATTTCAAACAGGCTGAAAACATTAAAGAGCAATTTGGCATCAAATTAACAAATAAAACCTAACATACATAGGATATTGAAAATAAAATCCTTTGTCAGATAAATGTGCTTAGCCTACATGTTTTTCCTATTTTTTCCCTTGTACTAATGTACAGTTTCAGTTTAAATATCTGAACCATCCATTTTTATGTTAGAATATATCGTGTCCTACTGGAACTACAGGACAATAAAGTTCAACACTCGCACTGAACTTGTAACTTGGTGTAAACAAGAGTGAATTCCTCTGGGGCACTGTAAGTCTGTATGTTTATAAGCAGTGCCCAAGGCAAAGGTTGAGTGCCATGAATAATTCATCTGTTGCAAAAGAAGCTCAGTTATTGTTTGAAATATGACTACAACCATTATTTCTGACAGAATAATTAAACATTAAAGGGCAAGACAAATGCACATTGTACCTTGATGACATGTGAATGCTGCAAAGGAAAACAAGTCGCTGAGGTCCCAAAGATGATGTAGAGCCACTGTTTTACAGACTATGCACACAATGTCACTTTTATGATCCTCCAGTGCTACACAGTACATAAATGTCGATATTAGCATGTACTGTATGTGCTTGGATAAGAGTAGACACCAGTTATGCGAACTGTAAATCTGAGTCACGTGAGAGCAGCAAGTCCTTTGCAAAAAATTTATGTGTGATGGAGCTGATGTCTCAGGGCAGAATTCCTCAATTACAATGCAGCACATTATGATGTTATGGATGGATGTTTATATGAGTATATTAAATTCTAATTGTGGAATGGCAAAATGCATTCCAAAGGAAAACAGACACAGGGAAGTATGCACCTTTTCACGGGATTATTTGACAATAATATGACATGACATTCTATAAGTACTGTAAATCTACTATAACCTGCACTATAATAGCACTGAACAAAATACTTGTCAGCACATGTAACATCAGACACTTGTAGCACTTTCAGCCGTCACAATCCTCTGCACTGACAACCTGTCAGAGAATCTTAAAAAAGAGGCTAAACCTGTGCTTTTATAAAAACCCGGAGAAGTTGAAAAAAATAAATAAAATGTAGCACGATATTTCATTAGCAGCAGCCCTGTGTGTGTACACGCAAAAGTATTGTAATCAGAAACAAGTGAGAGAAGTTAATGGTTTACACTGCAGGGCTCAACTGTTACAGCTGCAACAACAACTACAACAAATAAAGAAAGTAAATTCCTCACTTTTGTGCAGAAAGAAAATGAGAGTGATGATGTCGTGTTTATGTTCATTTGTGCACAGTGTTATTTTTACACGTGGTTGTCTTGCTGTTTAAGTATAGGGCTGAACTAACTGGGTTACTGAAAAGACTGAAATTAAAGGGAGATTTTTCACAACCTGTGATAATCTTATCATCTGTGAAATAAGTCCCACGATCTAAGCACATGACAACATAGCACAGTGTAATACAAAATCAGGTTATCCTTTTATTATTTCATGAAATATGAAGAACAATTGTCAGCCATGCCCTGCTGCAAATCCACATCAAGCCAAGTTAGGATGTGACTGATAAGTGCAGATCTAATCAGGATTAGAGCAGAAAATGATTTTCCCTTCTTGTATTTACCTCACTATACTTGAGGGTACTCTGTAAAAAAGCAATTAAAAACATCTGTTTATCACTGTTAATTTTAGTTTTTTAATTATTATTTACACTAAGCCACTTTCAGTGAAATCCATTTTTATAATGATCAGCAATTAAGACAAACCATTCACTCAGGCAAGCAACAGCTAATCACTGGTTGCCTCCTCAGCAACCATAAGTCAAACATAAATGTCAGGCACGGCTCTGACTGTAACTTGATGAAATGCTCTAAAACTAATCATCGAGAGCACATTGCTTACTTAATTTTAAATATACTGTTTCCCACTCTGAGTTTTTCCCTAATAACTCAGTGTGTTTGCAACATTCAAATACAGAGGGACATTTAAATACATATTACAAGGTCTTTCCGAATACTTGTATCTACAACTTGAACGCAAAACACATAAGGACATACTGTACGTACACACATTTCTTTTTTCCACCGAGGTGTGAAAACCTCAGGTCACTGGGACAGAGTCATGAACTTATATTTTCAACTGACGTTTTTCTGCTGGTTCAACCGGGCTGACACCATGTCTCAAAGGCTTATGGTACACTATCAGTCATATGAGGGACAGACTAAGACACACATTTGAAACTCTACCCAACGGGCTTACAAATTTCAATTACCTGTATACTAGACACTGAAATGTGATTTCTGCTATCAAGCTGCGTATAGGCAACACTCAGCTGCTACACAGAAAGTCCTCTGCATACCAGAGATTATAGGCTAAAATGTTGGATTCCTAATACAGTGCCTGTTCACAGCTCAGCTGAATGTAATTTATCTCACATGAATACGTAAAATAAATTTATAAATTTACATTTGCATGCTGGATTATATAACAAGCCAGTGGTCAATTATGATCTCAGGTCCGTTGAGTGTCATCACAGCAAAAACTGATCATAATATAATGAAATAAGAGGCAAATGGTTTAGATAATTTTCAACTTATTGGGAGATCAAAGCTATACATGTGGACCCACCATTTTTAATTTGCTCTATACCCAAGATGTGATTCCCAATTGCTCTGCTAGTGTGCTTCTTATTACATATTTCCCTCAAGCCACCTATGCCACAGCAGTCTTCAGTGGGCTGCTGTGTCTCCAGTCCCTGGAATAAATTTGAAAGCCCAGGTGGGAATGTTGCTTGGCGACTTCTACGCTCCATTAAGCTTCTGCAGGCAGTTTAAGAAAAGGCTACATTTGCATGCAATATTTATTTAAAAAAACAACCTGTGGGTTCCTGGCCTCGATGAGCAGTGGGAGACGGCAATAGAGGATGTAAAATGTCATGTTGGATCATCACTCTGGGGATTAATCAGTGTTTCATGAGATTGGGGCTTAACACTGTAAAACCCCTGCCTACGATTTCAGCAGCTCTTTATGACTAACATGGGATATTGAGCAGAGGCATAACAAGGTCTTCTTGAGATCTTTGCTGAATTATGTATATACACAGGCCCTTGGATAAACCGAGGACCTGCGCATTTGCTCCATTCGTCTATTCCCCACAGCCCTCCACCGCTTGACCTTCTCTCCATTACCTACAGCACAGAGCATTTTTCATGTCAACACAATCAATTTTTGTTTGCCTTGATCCTATTCTGCTTTCACACCTCTTTCTAGAGCCCAGACACTGCCATTCTCCAGGTAGTATTTCAACACATGAGAGTGGGAAACGGTCCCAACAGGATGTTGATGTAGAAGTCTAACATTTTGTATTGATTAATGAGAATCCATTAGACACACACCACTGGGAACAATAACAGTGACCATCACTGACCTTTGTCTATTCCTTGTGTAACCATTGACTTGATATTATGTCAATTCAGTTGTCACACATGAAGCAGGTACAGTACAGAGGAATTGAAAACTAATCAAGCAGCACACAATGGCAGTGACCATCAAAAACACCAATCCACTGTAATGAATGACACACAGACCAAGTGCTACTGGGAAATGATTTAAACAGGATTAAATATTTTTGGTCACTATGACCAGCTTTGAGAATACACCTCCAGTCTATTATTATTCACTTACACACACACAATCAATCATCTCTCTTAGGCTCCTCCTCTCACACCATGTTTTAAGTGTATGTTTGCTAGACACTTTTAAAATGCTGTAGATGGGCAGTGGCAGTTGAACAGACTGAAGGTGACAATTTTCTGCAACTCTGTGAAAATGCTTGAAATGCTTACCAAAGTCCCCGGGGACGAAGATGTCATAGACACAGCTCTGGCCCCTGGTGTAATTATGTGGATAGTTTGGGGACAGCACGGTCCCCTCTGAACCTGTGAAGTGACCTCCGCAGGGAGCTGCATGAGCAGGAAGGGAAGCAAAAGAGAAGCACGGTTAACAAATGTGAAACAACCACCTCATAATACCTGGGGAAATAAGGCGATAAAATACATTCAGCAAATCTATTCTAACTGCCCAGGTAAGCAGTTCATATAACAGAATGAGATGAAAAGTCACCTATGAACTTCAGTTGCTGACAAATGGAATTTGGGCCAGCATACCAAAATAATATGACATTTGAGAAACACTTTGGGGAAAAAGGAAAGTGAGCTGTAAACAGACTGGGAAAAAAAGCTGGAGTTGTGTTTACAGGGTTAAAACCCAACAGGGGAAACAACCAACAAGAAAAAGTACTTCCAAATACAGGAAAAAAACCATCAATCAACGAAACACACATAATCACAAAAGTTCCACATGCCTGTGACTTCAATCAGACTGTGTTGCCCAGCGGCATGTTTTCAGAAACTTTAGATTCCACTCTTCGGCCAAAACACGCTTTCTGTCAGCACACTGAGCACGTCGAAAATCCAGATGGAAGATAATTATTTCTAATTATCATATTAATTGATTAGTACATCAGAATATACCATCCATTTAAGTTAGAATGCACTAACACAGTTTGTGCAGCCTAAGCCACAGTAAAGACAAATTCTTGCACCACATGTCTGCAGATATTCAATTTGGGACTATGTTCATTAATAGAAGCTATGATCTGTCCTGCACCTGCGTCACATTGCAGTGCAATCTTAAGCTGTTGATAATGAACCTAATTTGCCAAGAGACCCTCTAACACACTTGCCTCGGACCGAGCCATCGGATGAGGGAGCCTCGACTGTAAACAAACACACACTCATTTGTTGGAGGGACACTGTCACCAGCTGCTCTGAACCCCCCTGTGGCCCACACAAATATGTCACTGCTGTTCCACTGGTCTGCACAGAAGAAGATGAACAACAGCAAGCAGAGGTGCCAATGTAGAAAAACGGATAAGCGATCTATCTGTTTGGTTGTTGAGAGGCAGGTAATGTGATGCTGGCACATTGGACTAATTCAAGCAGAATGGTATGTCGCCCTTTTAAAAATGTGAGGATGCAGTGTTTCAGAGACATTAAGGGGTTTCACTTTTTTTTTCATTTTTAAATACTGAAAGGATAGATGTTGATGGACACTTTAGTAAAGCACATAACTCACACAGATGCCCACTGTAAAAGAAACAGCTCCCCGGTGTGAGCGTGGGGGCCCCCGTTCTTCACTGCTGAGAATGAGAGCTGAATTCTAATTCAACCTTGGCTGATGTGCATCTAAATAGTATTAAAAATGGTGTTATGCCTCTCAAGAAATGAGAAGCACTGGATTCACATCTGGAAACTCCTCACATCTTCTCTCACCTGTATCCTTCACACTGATGCTGCAAAGCTCTATAAGCCCACACATTTGATTTGTGAATAATAAATAATACTCCCTGGTATATTATAATCTCAAAATACTTTGAATCTATTAAACAGCCTAGTTTTCAACTGCTTTACAGTCAACACTTCAACACTTGTCTAAACGACAGTTAGTTTCAACACGCTATTTCTACAGATCAGCTGGAGTCTATTTCGCACCCAAACATTGTGGCTTTTATAATTAAGTTAGTTAGTTTCTATCAGTGCATATCATGAATGTTTTCATCAGTCTTTTGTTCCCTCTGCCAAGGAGGTTATGCTTAGTCTGATTTGTTTGTTAGTCTGCAGGATTATGCAAAAACTACAGGACAAATTTCTATGAAATTTGGAATAATAGCACTGCACAGGGCTATACGATGCAGCAATGCAGCAACACACCAAGTTAGATCTCGCTAATGTCATTATGAGAATTGTAAAAATTTAATTTTGGTTAATGAACTGCAGCAGAACAGATAAGCCATAATCTAGATGAGTATTATTTGACAGAGTCAGATAGGGTATCAGCCTTGGCAGAGGTTATGCACTCTCAGAGCGCCCTGCTTGTTTCATTCCATTATTGCTTAGATTAACTGGAACTGCAGGTTTGATGTTTATGTTCAGTATATTTTTGGAGTTTTGTGTTGGTCAATTGAAAATTTGATGTGCACATGAAGATCCTATCTATCTTTTGATTAATGTTTTGGTCAGATTATAATCATGGGGTTCTGCTGTTGGGTTCTGCGATGAGTTAAGTGTTTATATCTACAACACACCGTTCTCTCCTTTGGTTTACTTTTCCTGCATCAGGCAAAAGAAGTGTGCAACCCACATAAACTTTAACACAGCACCCTTCTGGTATCACACAGTAACAAATATTGACCAAATAGCTGGAGTGCAGTTATCTCCCACTCAGGTGTTCTGTTATTGTCAGCATGTTGCCTTCTTACCTTGACAGCTTGGTTTGGCTCTGTCCCACTCTGGTCTCTTGCTGTTGCCCATGACACATGTCAGAGTGGAGTAGCCCTGCAGCAGATATCCAGCTTCGCAATGAAATGTCACCATAGATCCCAGCTTGTAGTCAGTACCCATTCTTGTGCCATTCATCACATTCCCGGGATCAAAACACGCCTCCCGCAGTTTTGCTGCCAATCAAAAGAATAAAGTCTAAAATGAGAGAGGGAATCTAATAGAGCACAAATAAGAATAAAAAAATATAGTTTTAAAGCTGCAGCAGTCTGTTTGATTCAACCTCACTTTTTAAAAAATTTAACTTGGTCTACATTGTGGAAATATTAGGTTGAATCAGAGGCCATTCTCACAGCTGGCATCAATATTAGATAACATAAGTGTGTACAGTAGCACACTTCAAAGACCTCATTTTATAATTCATTTATGTATGTATCGAACAAAACCCCCCGCTGTTATGCGTAAACACATTCTTTGAAAATGCATGTAGACTCCCACTTGCACGGGCCTTCAGAGTACCTTTGTATTCCAAATGAAAGCCGGTGTAGCTCACAGAGCCATCACTGCGAAATGCCAAGTACATGAAGTTGGAAGTGCTCTCAATCTTCTCAGGAAGTTTACTGTCTTGGAAACTGCCAATCAGATGAGCGCTGCTGTCTGGACCGTCATAGATATACAGGAAGTCATAGTTGGGCTCAATACTGAAGCTGTGACAAGTAAAAGAAAACAGACAATTAAGAGATAAAACAGTAATAATTTCATCCAGATTGTAGGAATGTTTGAGAGATTTACATTGCTTTAAGGTTTCAAAATTTGAGTGTGTACCGCAGTGCTAGAAGTGAGTCATGCCAAGCGATTTGTTTTGCATCTCCAGACAAAGAGATACAAAAAGATATCTCCCCGAAGAGGTGAGAAGAGATTAAATTGTTGTGACACTGCGGTGGCACAAAATCTTCCCAGACGGCAGTGGCAATGCAGTGTGAAAAGATCGCTTCATATTGTGGCGCTGTGTATCAAATCGCATGCAGCAGTGAGAGAGCGGAGCATTTGTTTTCAAAATAATGAGCCTGGTTTATGACAAAAATGTAAATAGCTTGGAGATAATTGCATTTGAGTTGGATCAAGGCAACTCCAATTTAAAATCATAACTCCATCCTTTCGTTTGGCATTCCCACAGGAGAAGGCAGCATTGTGCTAACTCCATTAGATGTTTGTTTTGAAGGACAAAGTTGAAGAAAAAAAAACACAGTGAGTTTCTTCTCTTTGCCTAAAGGAGAAGGATTGTAGGTGGGAGTGCAGAGAAAGCCAGTGTACCTGCGCCTCTTCTCTCACCCTCCGACTATGGAAATAACACTGAGAAGTCAAAAGAAGACTGCCCATGAAATGTGCCCTCAGGCCTTTCAGTGAGTTTTCTCGTGGCTGTTACATGCTTAGATTATAATTAATAATGTAAAGCTTGTTGTCTGAGTTTCTTACAGCGTAGGAAATGAGCTGCACTCAGAACACAGCTCTGTGCAGTATATGCAGCATTCAGCCAGAAATCTTCTTTCACCCCATTCCAGCAAAGTGGCAGGAATACCTGCCTTCTGGGTGTTTGGTAGAGGCACTGCTGCTCCTGCCCCTATCTCCCAACCCACCTGGGCTCCAAACTCAGGTTCTCTGCTTAACACACATGGCCAACTTTGCTCAATACCATGATGTTATACCTGGTTCCGCTGCAGAAAACAAGCAATTCCACTGCACAGCCTGAGCTGCTGTGCATCCACTGAGAACAGACTCCATTCTGTTGCAGGCAGGTTACAAACATAGCACAGGTTTAGGGAGAGCTCCATCTTGTAAGTCACTGGACCATGTATTTAAAGGACAACATATTTTTTTAACAGCCCTCCAGCATTTTCTATCTGATCCACTGCCCATACTCTACCTTGAAGTCCTGGATTTGCTTTATTAATATTTTTTTAAAGCCCTGTGCTTTGAAATAAAAAAATATATATTGCTACTATGAAAAATTTAGCCTAGGTTTTTTTTTAATTTTTCAAATTTGCTTTATTTTTCACTCATATTACCTGATAAAAGCCAAGGAGATGACATAGTCTGAGTGCACAGCAATAAGCCAGTCGCAGTCTTTGCTGTGTGGGTAGGGGTTGGGGTAGTTGGGAGAGAGGATGAATCCTGAAGATCCAGTCACATTCCCACCACAGGGTGCTTGAAAGATAAAACAGGAAGAAGAGGTGGATGAGAGAGATTTATATATGAGATATGTTTCTGACCCCTTTCTTATGGAGGCGCTTAATATTTCTGCTACATTTCCTAAATCAAGTCTGTTGTATCCTATAAAGTGTTCTGCTCAGTGTTCAACAGGGTTAGGATCAACGGACACATACACAAAAAGAGCTTTGATTTTTTGGTTGAACTTGATAAACATGTAGGATAAATATACATCTGACCACAAATATGAAAAACTAACTTCTGAAATATGAATTATTCAAACAACAAAATGCATCTCTGCTCTTCCAAAAAAGTGGGTTTTAAAAGTTATTAACCCTTTTTTTTAACTCTGCAGTGATGAACAGACTCTGTAAGATACAAATGAAGCCAGCAAGACATCAATTTAAACACCAATTAATTTGTATTATATATCAATGCTAACATTAAACCCTTTACTGTGTATATCAGGTTTATGTAATTTTTTTATAACTGCATTTTCAGTGTCTGAGCACACAGATGACTAAGTTGCTCTTATTTAGAGAGATTTATATAAGAATGAATATAAGAACAGCTGACAATTACATCAAGTTCTGCCTGAAACAAACTTGCTCCTGATGGCATTAAATTATGCTCAGTTGTGTGATCTTGTAATCGCATTTCAACAATTCCTAGCAGTTCCCAGGCCGGAAAAAAGAAATGCCTTACTTGGACCAGTTGGCAGCAACTCAAGAGCATCTAAGTTTTTTTGGACCTACTTAGTGTAATTATTTCTAATTGCATTGTTAAGTAATTAGTTGTTAAGCTCTAATATGGCAATGTGTTGGGAGACTATAGAGTACTCAGCCTTTAACCGGCTACAGAAGTGGATTTGTCCACATAAACGTTGGCAAAAACTCAAACACAGCTGAACAGTCTTGTTTATCCTCCACATATTTTCAAGACATCAGTGAGAGAGAATTATAGTCTATGCTGCAGCCAGTTAATAGAAAAACTCCCTTGCTCCCTATTCCTCTCACCATCCCTCTTTCACTCTGATCCTCTACACTTCCTTCTTTCCCTCTCTCCTTCAATCCATATTCCTCAATCTCCTCTGCACATTCCCCCTCCCCCCCCCCCCTCTCTCTCACTCTCTCTCTCTCTCTCTCTCTCTCACCGATGCAGCTTGGAGGGCTTGGTTGCCAGTAGTATCTATTTTCCACTTGGATGCAGGTGATTCTGCTCTCTCCCTGCAATTCATATCCCGGATCACAGGAGAAGGTCACAGAGTCACCTGGCTCACGTCCTTCACCGTTGCGACTGCCATTCATGGGAATACCTGGATCTCTGCAGGCTGTGGCTAGCGAACCTGAAGGGCAAACACACACACACACACACACACACGTGACACACATAAACACGCATGTGCATACAATGTACAGGGAATCAATGAACTCAAGAGAGAGCACACACAGTTTTATATCATATGCTAGACAGCTGTCAAACTGAAACTGTGGCTCAAACAGTGTTACAGCACAAAGCAGATTACAAACTGATATCAGCCGAAATCCTGCCATGTTTTCCTAATCTGTTTTCCTAAACCACAGCTGTGCAGCAGCCCAGCAGCGAGAGTGTTCTGGTGAAATCTGATGGATTCTTCAGATTTTCCCATCTTCACAGACTTTATTGAGAGATTTAACAAAGTTACGCATACTGGAGCCTTATGATGTTGCTTTTTTTTTTTATAAAATACAAAATACATTGTGCAAAAAGAAATCAAAGAAGAAAGAAATACAATACAAATGTAAATTAAGACATGATCAGGTTGCATATGATGTGATTAATGGATGACACACTCAGAACAATAGATTTGATTATGTGATTTCAAGACGTAGGTGTAAAATAATCAGTGGGTGTGATTTAATATCTATGAAACAAGGGATCATAACGATCCAAATTTTAATGAAGAGACACTTAACCTCTATTCTGCATGGATGGTAATTACAGATGTAACTCCATACCACAATTCAATGGCTACCATCACAAAACACAGTCCCTCATTGAAGACGGTTTGCAGAGGTTTCAACCAACACAACCGGATTCATATTTGGCCCCTGTGTTTTGCAGTAGTTAAACTAACAATATGAATATATTTCATGTTTTTTAGGAAAACGATTGGGGCCAGTCCTGTAAGTCTACTGCTCCCATCATGCTTTCGTTGCTGAAAACCACTTGCCTGAGGCAAAAGGGTATTTAAGTACAGTGTGCATCTCCAGAATCGATTTCAGCCTCAAACGCATGCAGTGAATCCTACGTCATTGATTTTTACATTAAGCTGCCATGTCTATGTACTAAAGAGAATGAAAACTTGAACATCGTTTCATCAGATATGGAATACATAAGTGGCTCTGAAACTTCTACCCTTTAGATTTCTCAGTGTTGAAGCTACTCATCAGCAGAACATTAGTATTACGAAAGCAATCGTTCGTGAGAAATGTGAACTATTTGGGTCTTCACTGCTCATCCAGGCACAAATGAAGATCACATAAAATACTAAGACATGAAAGATGACAACATGTAAACCCACTATCATTCACTATGGTTAACTTAATATCATTTGGGAACATTCTCATTAGAAGCCAACAAAGTGTGAAGCTTCAATGTGCTCCTTATACCATGTAAGAACATGCTTAATGTGCACTGTGGTGACAACATTAATGTGGTGGTAATCCGTAAACATGTTCAGTGGCATTAAAAACATTCAATATTTCTAATTGTTGACTATTTAAATGTAGAATATTTTAGATATAGTTGCTGACTATTTGTACATTCACATGCAAACCAGGAAATAAACCTGATGTTTCAGTTTTTAGAATGAGTCTCACAAAGAGCAAAAGAGATTACAATCCTACACTACTTCAGCTACTCAGAAGAAAATACTCACTGGAGAAGTCAATGGCAAAACCAGACTTTGTGATGTAAAAGTCAGTCTCAAACTGAATGGTGACGATGTTGAGAGTGGAGTGGATTCCCTCAGGTAGCAGCGAGCCGCTGACTTCCTTCAGAGACATCTCGTTCTCGGGAGGCCCGTCCCACACCTTCAGGATGTCGTGGGATGCCTCCGTGTCAAATGCAAGAAACTGCAGACTGGGAGACAGGAACGCAGGAGAGTGTTACTCTGACTTTAATTCTGTCAGTTTAAGTTAAGTCAGGTCATTACGTTAACATACAGCATGATGAATGAGGTAGAGATGCATTCAGCTTAGGTGACAGTTTATTCACTCATGTTTAATTGAATAAAGGCAACAAATACAAATCTTGCCAAGAAGGCAGGCGTTATGTGAGCTGACGTCAAAAGAGAGATCTATCTTGAAATAGTGTCGCCATGCTTTTGGGAATTTTAGTTGAGATTTTCTATCATTAATCAAACTCTGTCAAAGTAAGAAATACAAGTGCAAAGAATTATCTGCAGTCTCACTAAGAGATGGCCTGAAGCAGCTTCTGTCTTTAAGGAATCATAGAATGTTTACTTCGACATCTATTTCAAATCAGGTTTTATTTCACAGTAATCCTAGATGCTCTCAAGCAAAAGAAATGTTTCCATGTCCTGCAAATATCACCCTGGGTGTTGTCAGTGTCTACAGAGTCCCTCTCCCAGTCATTGTTGATGTAGCTGCTGCAGGCTGTTTCTCTCGATGACATCCAGCTTTAGAGGAGGCAGCTTCATGTTTAAAATCCTAACTGAACTTGACTTGAGTGAAAACATTTTTTGTTTTTTTACTTTGAGTCTTTTGTAGTCAGGTCAAGTAAGCGTGACCTCAGTCAATTTAGAGTGAATTGAATCAACATCCTTCAGTTGAATTTCAATCAAATTCCTTTTGATTTAACCACAAAAAAAAAACACAGAGGGCCCTTCTGTTGATTCCTAATATACACATTAAAATATATAAAAAATGGAGACCACTCCAAATTTGTTTTAAATCTGCAGAACTGTATGTATGACGGCCACTTCATTCCAGTATCTGTTGAAGGATAGAACTAAAACGTTAAATTCATTTTAAACACAGTAAAATCAGAGAAGCTGATAATCCTGCAGTGGCACATTTTTTTCCAAAGCTGTATTTGTTTCTTTTGAAGACTTAATAATTTAAAGCCCAACTTTATGTTATTAAAAGCCTCTGTAGTTTTTTTTCCTCCTCATCACCATATTTTGTGATTTATGATGCTCAATGCAATTTGCTTTTTTAATTTATTACATGTTTTAATTAAAATATTTTACATTATCAAGTCAGTTATACAAAGAAAATGGCATAAATATTCAGAAAATTGAGTTACCTGACAATGTTGCCAGAGTTGACCTCAATTGTCCACGTGCACCTCAGGTTGTTGTCGTAGGGGAAGGGATATCCAGGAGAGAGGATGCGCCCTGTGGACTGGCCCTTGAAACTGCCACCACACTCCGCTGCATTGACGTACACACAAATTAGTACAAAGAAGCAAAGTAACAAAACAGGAAATGCAGTCACATGCATTTAGAAGCAAATGTCCATGTGATGAAACCAAAAACAAAAAAATACTGTCAGAGTCCACAATGATGACTAATGAGCAACAGTTCTAGGCTCTGCTTAAAATGAACAATTTTCTTTCCTGCTAACAGGTAATAGGACTGCAACAATGACTTCCTGCCTGACTAGAGAAACTCACAGATGCAAAACTTGTTTTGTTTCTAAGTATGCCTCCTAATGATGCCATTAATTAACTTTAAAAAGACTGTGTCCAGAGAATATATAGGCTGGGCCTCGGACTGCAGGGAGGACCACTGCTACAAATGTTAATGACTGGAGGAAAATCTTATCCAATCTGTGCCGTCTCTCCCCTGGTTATCATCTCGCTATCTATATTACAGAACAAACGGCACTTAATTAATAGGAAAATTGCATTAGATTGCCACAGTGGTTTGCTATAATCAGCATCATAACACTGAGCAAATGTGAAAGTCCTTGACAGGAGCCAGGATGTGGCCCAGGAGGAATGGCTAGAAATCCCATTTCACATTCAGCTCACAGATACATGGCTCACTATTAATATTGACTATTCAGTGATCCAGCACTGTTAAACAGTTAATCAATAGACTGATTACCTTTCCTTTTTTTTTTTTTTTTTTGATTGTATTGAACATGCCACAATGCAAGACTGAAGCACTTTCACTGAAAAAGGAACAAGTACATGTTTCATTGAAAAAGGCCTGGGGAAACAGTGGCATTTAAAGTGCAATTCTGCACACGTCCGGAATTTGAAAATCATATTTTACCCTAATCCATCACTGCTAGACATTAAGAAACAGACAATGCTTCACAACACCTTCCAGACTCGAGCAACGTGCAGGTAATAGCTTTATCATTTGTCTGTCTCAGCATGTTCTGAATATGAAAGTACAGCCAAGATTGTGCATTTTTGTCTGTGACTCAATCTGATACGAGCACTCTGATAATTACATCTATGCTTCTAGAAGAAAACATGCAGATCAATTGCTTGTGGGTTAAATTTCTAAATTACATAGCCTACAAATGAAACAGACACAGAAAAACACAGCAAAAGCTCAATAGAGTTTCAAATTGCTTCAACATTGTGTTCTTAATAGCTCTGCACACCTAGTTTTTCATCAAGAACACAAAGAGATCAATGATTCACAATAAAACATCGGAGGCAAATTCATATTCTCCGATAAGATTACAAGCAGCATATTTTCTTTCTACCATGTTAAATAAATTAGAACTCATGTTGATATATGAATCCTTGGGATTAACAGCTAGCAGCAATGTTAACAGTTAACCTGACCTCAATAATAAAAAGTAACTGCAGAAGACAAAGCAAGAGATTTCAGACCTGTTAGTATGGACGGGGATTAAAACTTATATTGGATCAAAATGCTTGTGTGGAAAGAGATCACCATTGAGATCAACATACATTAGTTGTATAGATGTGGCCAACGACGGAATATAAACATATTTGGAGAGATTTACCTATACATGACGGGAGGTGATTGTCCCATGCTCTTCTCTCCCCAGTCATGCACTTGAGGATACCACTGCCATGCAGGGTGTAACCTTGATCACAGCCAAAAGTAATGGCACTCCCAGCAAAATGACCCTGGTCACTGACTTTGAAGCCGAACTGCGGCACACCTGGATCATCACAGTGCGAAAGCTCAAAACCTGGACGAGTGAGATTAGGAAAAGGCAGAAATGAGTTGAAGAATTACATCACATGAATCCTGGGGACATAACCTTTTAAATGTTAGTCAGCATTTAGAGCCACATACAATAGAGACAGCCATTCTGTAAACATTCTTTAGCACCATATTTCCATTGATCTGTATTGTAAAGAGGTATTGATTGAGCTTCGAGAATTAATTCCCAGTTGAGCACAAAGGAGAGCTCGGTTACGTTGCCATTATATTACTTGGCAGTAAAAGATTCCTTTTGGACCGACAGCCCAATTAGACATTCACAATTAAATGTTCAATTGACTGTGGACGTTTACCACGACTGAGAAACAGCCCATCCACTCGTAACACTTTGGGGTATTACAAGAGAAATAAAATAAACAAGCCACAAACAAGAAAATGTTGCAATAACTCCTCAGCTCGCCATGTTTGAACTTGACCGTGGCCTTTATGTGTGTTGCTCTCTTTCAGGTACTAAATGTAAGTGTTCTGCTATGCAGCAACAGTGACTGCACATAAAACCAGCAGTCCTGATTTATCATCTCTTCGCACAACGAGGTCCGTGCCCATGCCAGATGTTACGCTGGTGTAACAAGTGTCATGCCCAGTGTAAATCTCCAGCAGATACTTCACACATTTGGAAAATAATCTCAGCACTTCAGGTGGAGGTGTCGTGAAAACATGATCAGATTTCATGTTCTGACAAGTTTTAAGCTGCCTGTACACCACCTTCTCTTTGCCCTCTTGCTGTTCACACATCAGTCAATCCTCTCCAAGTTGAAAAGAGTATTCATTCTGCTTGAAAAGACTGAGTTAAAAACTGCACTTTGAGATGGATAATGGGTGCGAGCTTATATTCTGCTATTTACCTTGTGCACAACACTGGAAAAGTCATAAATTAAATCCAATTATGTGATACTTAATTATGGGTAATTTTGTAACTCAAAGGCAGCTAATAATTAAACTTAATTTCCCTTGAATTAATTGTGGTTGCATTTAGATTCTGCTGGCAATTTATTTAGTTAATGTAAATGAGTATATATTATTTGAAAACTTCATGTGTAATAACATTATCCCATAAAACTTATTTTATGAGAACTTTTTTATAGTGGTTTTTTCTGGCACATTTGCTGTAGAAATTATAATTTCTAGCGTCAACCTAGTAACAAAAACCTTTTGCTTTCATACTGTTTGAGTGAAAAGAGTTCTTGGCCTGATGCCATTCATACTAACTATATTGAATTCTACCTTAGAAAACCCACTGGTAGATAAAAGGAATTCAGAGATTGCAGGTGAAACACAAAAAACACTTTAAATTGGACCGCAAAGTGCAGTGTCACCAAAGCATTCTCTCGTCACAGTAATAAATTAGAAACGGTTAGCAACAATACACAGTCAGCAAGCCAATTAAGGCAAGAAACAAAACCCATCTATTACTGGCCCACTTACTGCAATGACCCAAACTTTCAATACACACACGCTCATGCATATGTAGAAGCACACACTGTCTGCTGTGCATGCACATACACATTAGCAAACAATGATTTCAAACAATACCAACTATAATTCACCTGTTTTAACAAGGAACAGTTAGGCAGACAATTGCTGATGTGGGGAGCAAAGGAAAAGAAGGAGCGGGGGATGGCAGAGCGAGAGAGGAAGCAGAGAAAAAGGGAAATTTTCCTGCAGGAGTGGAGCGGAAACAGCATGCTGTGTTTAATGGATACCCTGACAGTGAAAGACACAGTGAAGCAGGGTGAGGGTCAATTAAAATTTTCTTTTAAATTCAGCTACTTGAACCGCCTGGCTCCTGAAGTGAGGCTAAATTCAGTCATTTGGAAAAGCTCTAAGTCCCCCCTCCTCCGGGGAAATGAAATGTGACTTACTGTGGTATATGAGGCGGAACCCCGCTGCCGTCACCTCCTGGTCGGAGTAGAATTCCAGCCACAGATAGTTGGAAGTGCTGGTGAGGGACAGACCTTGCATCGACGTGCCTGTGTAGGTGCCAAGGAGTGGGGCTGCACCATCCTTGCCATCATAAACCTGAGCAGAGACAGAAAGCGAATTTTTATAGACGTGTGCTACCTACAATTAAGAATTAAATATTAATACTGAAGAAAGAAAGCGACAGTTAAAAAGAAGCTATGAGTTCTGTATATCAAGTTTTATATGGCACCTCTACTGCAAATCCAATGTCCTAAATGAGATGTGAAAATTAGATTGGAGTGACCATAATTCCTCCTACTGATTTGATACAGTGCCTCTTAGAGTTGAATTAACAAGATGGTGCTGGGTTACATGATGCCAAAAAAAAGGACAATTTTGGAGGTGTGGTGGAATAATCATTTTTACTTTATAAGATTGGCTTTTTAATTAAACGGTTTGAGTGACTTTGTTGAGCAAATATTAAAATGTTCTTCAATATTGAAAAGCTAAAATCCAACACGAGATTGAAATCACTACAAGCAAAGAGTAAGGCACTTTTCTGTTATCTGGATTTATGCCAAATAGATGTTTTAATCTTTGTTTGTTTATCTCTTTCAGCCCAGCAAGGTGTTGAACGATGCATCCAATGTAAATTATTTGTCAAAGAAATATCCCTCTTTATGGATTTCCAGCATTATACATAACCTTTCCTGATTGACTGTGAAATAAATCTGGGCACTTCCTATGAAATACTCCTGAGGCATTCTTTGTTTTGTTTTCTGTTTTGTTTTTTTCTTTAAGGCAATTTAGCTCTACGATGTTGTCTGCCCACATTTCAGATACTCACAAGATGACTAAGTACAAGAGATGACTGTCTACACAACTCCACTACTAAAAAAATAGATAGAAGCCGACAATGCTGTTAATTGAAGCATAAGATAAGACATCTGCATCCCAAAAAGAGTGCATTCCAGCTGTGAAGAGAGGACTACATAGTCATTTGCATCACATCTGTGGTGCTTACAAAAAGCTGTTAAAATGCCCTTGAGAAACGAAATGAATCCTTTCCTTCCCAGAGAGATGCTGCTGCTGTTGTTGTTTGACCTTTGATCTGACTACCAATACAAAACAGTTGAGTATTCTGCCTGGTGTTTTCCACAAAATCCTCCTTTTACTGGTTTCTTATGTTGTACATAATAAAACGCACCAGGAGCTGACTCATATACTATTGGTATTTGTTGATTATCTATATATATTGTTAAGCCTTGCTTATAAATATGTTCTTTGTGTTTCAAATGTGAATTTGTGTGTGTATTGTTGAGCCCTGTCAAAAGGAGAATTTCTGTCACCTTGGCAAAGACAATGCAGTTTATCTATCTATCTATTTTCCATCACCATCATGGAGCGTCTGTGTTGTGTTGTGTGTCTTTACCTTGATGATGTCACCTTGTGCGAGTTGAAAAGTGCTGGCAGTGATGTTGATGCCTTTGCCGGTTGTAACCTGGATGCTGTACACACACTCGTGGCTGTTGTCATAGTTCATTGGGTAGTTTGGGGACAAAAGAACTCCCTCATTGTTGGACACTGTTGATCCACACTCAGCTGCAAAAAAAACCAAGACCAGAAACATAATCAGTTTAATAACAACAGGAGCTGCAAAGCCTCACCAAAAAAATCTCTAATCTCTAAAACTAAAATTGGAATAAAAAATGCACGAGAGATAACAGACTTAATACAATCGATCTATTATTAATAAAAAGATACGGCTATAATTCAAATGTGGTGATAACTGATCCATCCAAGCTTCCATCCTTTTCATTACATTAGTAATACAGTAATCATTATCAGCTGACACTGATGCATAGTGAAATGCCGATTATTATTAAATGCTCAGTGTATGAACGTCATCATGCCAAGTCATAACAGTGGAGACTCTCCAAAATTAACTGTTCGGAATCAACAAACGTAAATCCATGCGAGCCTTTTCTCTGCATGACTAGTAGAAACCTCCTTTAAGCAAAGCAATTCAAAATGTACTCCTAATTAACCCAATATGTTTTGAAGGGATTAGTTCAGATGACAGCATCATGTCTCTGCTATGAAATGGCTTAAACTCTGGAGCCAGCCCTTAAAATGTGCAAGAAATGTAAATGAATATCTTTGAAGAGAAAACAATTACAGTCTTTGCAATAATATTGTTCCTGAACTAGCAGCTCACATCATTGGTAATCACAGATCTGCAGGTTACAGGTTTCTATCTGCACTTGATATTGATATGTTTAAAATCCAACACTGGCTAACAGGGTAAATTCTGCAATAAACATATTGTACAATAGAAGAAATCAGAATAAAAGCAGATGACCACGTACCCACACACCTTGGAAGAGGGGCACTCCACATACGACGGCCACCTCCCAAGCACACAATCTCCTTCGTCCCCTGTAGACGATACCCTGTATTGCAGGTGAACGCCAGCGAGTCCCCGATTCCAAATCTGGAACCCGTGTGCCAGCCGAACTGAGGTGTTCCAGGATCCTGACAGGGTTCCAGATCATACTCTGGAAACATGACAGCCAAATAACAAATCAGTTCTAACTAATAGAATGGCTGTCTTGGCAGCAAAAATAATATCATTATGCTATCATAATGATTTATTACTTACTGAATACTTCATTTTGATCAAAATAACAATTTGGAAAATACACCAGTTCTCTTTTCAAAGAAACTCTTTGAGAACCCATTTGGCCCAGGAAAACAATATCGGAGTTTATAGGGATTATCTGCCTGGCTCAAGGACACTTCATCAGACTGGGATACAAGCCAAAAACTTCAGCCCAGCATGTCTAGATGAAGAATCGGACCTCTAAAAACAGGCCAC